AGTAAGGAAGTTCATCCGTGGTAGAATTAACAGCATGCTCGAATCAAATGGTAAGGGTAGGAGTGCTGGACGCATAAGCTTGTACCATCGAAAAGATCGGTCGGTAAAGTAGAGTGAACGGGCCATTAAGAAAAGAGGTTAGGAAGACCGACGAGACGTAAGGAAGTCATAAGGAAGGAAATGCGAAGGTACGAAGTTTACGTAAGCGAATTGAAAATAAAGGAAGTAAAAGAAATGAAGGAAGTGAATAACATAAATTAATTCAGTGAGTGAGGAAAAGTGTATCTGGTAAGCAGGGTAATGGCGGATAAGAAGAATAAGAAGAGATAAAGTGTGGTATAGTCGTCTGGATGAGTAACAGGACAGAGTCGTACCTAGAGCGGATGTTTCGCGCTCGCCTAGCGTCTGAATCCAATCAATAAATATTACAATGGCACCCCTAGAGAAGTAGGGGAGCGACGTATCCGCGTCAGAGCAGCGACGCTCCTGCGTCGCGGGTAACGGAAGCAGCAGCAGCGTCCGCCGTCGGTTTATACATTACTTTTCTAGTAGCGAATTAAAACCGCGTTCATGCGCAGCCCGCGGAAGGGCGTAATGATTTTTTGAGGGACGAATCGAGTGGGGTCGTAGTAGTGGGGCGACACGAGTCGGCAGCAAGAAGAAATCGTCGTTGGCGTCGTCCTTTGAGAGGGAGAGAGTCAGATAGATAGACAAAGAGTGCCAGAAGAAGAGAGACGGAGTGCGGGGGAAGGGGGAGAGAGAGAGAGAGAGAGAGAGAGAGAGAGAGAGAGAGAGAGAGAGAGAGAGAGGTAACAGAAAATATGTAAGAATGAGAGAAATAGCGAACGAACAAAGGAACAAATGAGAGAGGTTAGCGAAGGGAGAGAAAGAGAAAGAGGGAACGAACAAATAAGGAGAAGAGAGAGAGAGAGAGAGAGAGAGAGAGAGAGAGAGAGAGAGAGAGAGAGAGAGAGAGAGGGAGAGAGAGAGAGACTCAATATACAGTAGAGGAAGATAAAAAACGAGAGGAATAAAAGTGGTAGGGATCCGCATGGAAAAGGAAGCGAGTCGGCGTCAGGGGCGACTATGATGTCCGGCAAGTTACAACTTAAAACGGACAGGATCGTCCACTCAGCAGGATTCTTCAAGTTACGTTATGGACATGCAAGTGTTCATCGTGAAAAGAAACGAAGCAGCAGCTGTGAAAAGTGCGAAAAGTGGCCAGTGCCGACGCCGCTCCGTCGTCGGCATCGTATCTGGTGAAAGTGCGTGGATCGATTGTGGCGTGGCATCAGCGGGGCTGGAGGCCTCTTCAAATTCCGACTCTATTTTTAATTGGAACTCGTTAGCTTTGCGCATTTTCATCTCGCGAGGGGACCGCGAGCTGCTACCACCCCCACCACCGTTGCTGCCTTCAGCCACCACCAGCATCACCACCACCACCACCATCACTGCCGCCACCACCTCTCTGCGTACGCACTATTTTTTAGTCCACACTTATTACGACAGATGTCTCATGCGCCGATAAAGAATAACGCTGGTCCCCCCCGTGCTAGTCCCGACCCGGCTCGGTGTCTCGGCACGCACGCTTTTTTCGCGAGACGCCACCGCGACACGTAGTTACGCGAGAGCAGGACGTCCATAGGAGGCAACCGCGTGGATATAACACTACGGATGGCGCAGAATCCCAACCAGCAGCCTTTCGTATTTCGCGGCTAGGAACGTTGTGCTCGCACGTTCGACGGAATCTCTCTTTCCTCCCCTCCACACTCGCTCGCACCACGACACATACTGGGTCTCACTGTCTCCCTCTCTCTCTCCCTCTCTCTCTCTCTCTCTCTCTCTCTCTCTCTCTTCTCCTTATTTGTTCGTTCCCTCTTTCTCTTTCTCTCCCTTCGCTAACCTCTCTCATTTGTTCCTTTGTTCGTTCGCTATTTCTCTCATTCTTACATATTTTCTGTTACCTCTCTCTCTCTCACTCTCTCACTCTCTCTCTCTCTCTCTCTCTCTCTCTCTCTCCTTCTCTATTCATCACATACTCTTTATCCCCCCCCCTGTCTATCTCTTTCACGATTTCCCGGTGTGTGAGTCTACGACCGAATATCCTTCCGTTATCTTTGATCATTTCGCGGTCAAAACGAAACGAAAGGCGTTTTTCGGAAACGCGATTCACTGCGAAGTCGCTGCCATGCGAACGCACGCAGCTACATCGAAACACACACGTATAATGGTGCTCTAACGGGAAATCCCGCTGCACATGAGCCTGGCAGGTGTCGCAAGGTAAAGCTGTCTCGTCTCCTCACGCATGCTTCATCCCTGACAACATGGCTACTTATACCACTGTCGCAATTGTCTATTTCAATAACGCTATTCCTTCGTTACTCTCAAATTGTACTGTCAGTTTGATTGCTGTGTTGCACGTTTTCTTTAAGGAATGAATTTGATTCTGTGCATTTTATGTGATACTTTTGAGTTTTCTATATCGTTACCACGTTCTACAGCTAGTGTTTTTTTTTTTCGAATCCTTCCCTGGCATTTATTTCCCTTGATAGTCTACCTTTACTCTTGATCCATTGACTGTCGCTAACCATTTTTCTCTTATCTTTCCTCTGACTCCAGCAACACTAACACTACCGTTACTATCAACACCTGCACATCTCCCACTTGTCAGTAGAATATTTTCTTATTGAACCGCTTTGTATACGTCACGCCATTAAAACCAATCAAAATGGTCTCACTAATTTGTCTGTCCTTTCTCCCACCCCTAAGTGCCATTTTGATCTTTCTAGCAGTTGCAGATTTCGCACGCACCGATGTGTTTCATTGATAACGTGCGACGCACCTGATCGGAATTTTTTGTCTTTTCCTTCCTCACGTTAATCCTCTCTTCTTATCGCTTATTCTTTCTTTATCTTTTTCAAAATCCCGCCCCCTCCTCATTTTACAAATTCAAGTTCCCACCCGCGTTGTACGGCGCATCTCTTCCCTGTCCCCCCCTCTCTCTCTCTCTCTCTCTCTCTCTCTCTCTCTCTCTCTCTCTCTCTCTCTCTCTCTCTCGCTCTCGCTCTTTTCCCCTTTCTCTTTCTTTAGTCAACCTCACTTCTTTACTCCGATCTCGCCGGATCCTTCTAACCTTTCTCCCACCCCTATGCACGCACGTATGCATAACCATTTGCCTCTGTGCATGTCTCCTCACTTTTTTAATCCCTCTTTTCGTCCGACCCAGTGACTGCGTGGAGAACCGTAATGTGAAGTGCGCATTTTTGCAAGCTTACATCGTACAGATAAATCTGGATAAATCGAGTCTCATTGTTTCGGTCATTAGCTTGCCGGCATGACGAGTGATAGGTGTACGCAGGAATGACGCGTTTCGGTGTGCAGTGCCATATATTCCATTTTTGGTTATACACTATAGTGCCATATACATATATTTGTGCCATTTTCGTCAGTGCTAGAATACTGTCACGTGATTTCACTACGCGCGATATTATTCGACTATTATTGATCTAAGTATTAAAGGTGTGTATATATACATTTTTAATTTAAAAAAAAATTAGATTCAAAATATCTTAAATTAATAGTTTTTTGGGCGAGTGACACTGGAGCTTTTTTGAATTAGCACAATTTTTTTGCACTCTCCCCCCCCCTCTCTTGCTACTCACTTGTCAGTGGGACCGACTTTTACGTTGGATGACTTTAAGTACTCTTGGCCGGAGGTTAGGAATTTTTCTATGGCGGGATTATTCAAACGAACCACTCACGTACGTAAAAGCGTACACTGAGCAGGTGTAAATACATTTTTTTTATCTGAAGGGACCACATGAGAAATTCGAGGGATTATTGGATGTGTCTATTTCACGTAATTCGTAAAAGAATATGGTAAACTACAAGGCTAGTTTAGGTATACCGATAAGAAAGTATTATCAGATTCTATATTGGACTCGCGGCATAGCGGCAAAATTTACGAAAAGACTCGGGCTGAGTTGAATTAGTTCTAAGAATTTTTTTTATCTTCCCGCAGTGCCGATAACATTATCGAGGTCCCGCGTTTAGCTTGCACTTTTACAAGTAATGGAGAATTATTTAATCGTGTGCTCTCTGGCCGGGCTCCAGCTCGACGACCTAATTTTCTCTGCGGACTGTGGGATAAAGAGAAAAAACGGCTGGATGCAGTTTTTAGCGCGAGCTCCTCTCTCCTTAGGCCTGATGTAATCAGACTTTATCGTGCCTCACTTTTATCTTTCCTACTGCCTCTACTGCTCGCTGTTAATATATGTGTAGTTACTATAGTTGCAATGCTGCTCTGGCGCTGATTCACTGACAAGAGAAATAAAAAAATAGAGATATCCACTGCACGAAAGAATCATTTCTATTTTCCTAATATCGCGACGCCATTAGCTTTCTCTCTTTACCTAATCCCTCATTGACATTCATAATTTCAATTATGTGTTACATTTATCTGACTGATGATCCTATCAGCTCGAAGTATGATAATTTTAATTCTATAGCGAAGAATGTACTATGTTTTTAGATATTAATGAAATAATTTTTTTTCTAAATTTTGAGGGTTATCTTCACTCGATTCGATTGTATGAAGTGATCTAAATAAAATATATTTTTTGAAATTACTATAATGTATTGTACACTTTATTATAACATACATAATAGAAATAGTACTCTGTAGCGTTGTAAATAAAGAATTGTTTTTGTAATTGATAAAGGAATTTTGAAAATGAGGAACAAATTTTCTAAGAAGTGTTAGTAAATAGCGTCCCCGTATGATGAATATATTCGCTAAAGTTACACAATTTGCAAGTGTTTTTTAAAAGAAGTTTTTATCGGTATTTATCAGCGCCTTTGCCGGCTTATCAGAATTTGTCATGCGCCTAGAGAAATTCCGGTGAGGAGAAATTATTTTTAATAGTTGACGCACGTTCTCTTGGTCAGCTGATCTGAGCTTTTCATCCCATGATAATACATTGGAAAATTTTGACTTTCAGGTGAACAGACATAACGATGGTAGATACGCAACACTTTTGCCTGCGATGGAACAATTACCAGAGCAGCATTACGTCAGCCTTTGAGAATCTGCGAGATGACGAGGACTTTGTGGACGTCACCTTGGCCTGTGACGGCAAAAGTCTCAAGGCTCACCGGGTTGTCCTCTCGGCATGCAGCCCCTATTTCCGCGAGCTGCTCAAGGTGAGTCCCGAAACTATTATAAAAATTAAAAAAAAGAAAAAGAGAGATCAAGCAATTTTATTCCTTGATCGGATGCACGGATCACGTATGAGCACAAAAAAAAATAATAATATTAGCACAATTTGTCTAATGAAAGTTGTATCTTCTCAACTTAGAGCACACCGTGCAAACACCCGGTGATAGTGCTCCAGGATGTGGCGTTCAGCGACCTCCACGCCTTGGTCGAGTTCATCTACCACGGCGAAGTGAACGTGCATCAGCGTTCGCTTAGTAGCTTCCTCAAAACTGCAGAGGTCCTGAGGGTGTCCGGCCTCACTCAACAGGCTGACCAAACGGACAGGGACGAGGTGAGCTCAATTTAAATCTGAATGCTGTCCCTCCTCGTACATTATCTATTTCTTATCAAGAGGTGTTGACATTTTCCAAAAGACACTGTCTAATTTGGTGATAGAAGGAGTACAGAGAGAAAAAGAAGTAAAGGCGTTTGATGCAGGGGAATCTTAGTGGATAGAATCTCTATCATAATTCCAGTAAAAGACTACGTCCAGCTGGTCGCAAATTACTAAAGCCGTCACAGTCTTTTGGTCTGTCCCTTTATTGAGACTTATCAAAGTGATCGTCCCAGAGTATACCGTGCCAGGGACAGAGTGAGAGAGGGCGATTGAGAAAGGATGTAGTGAGGGATTGAGAGATGACAGCGTGACGGAGGAGTGAGGAAAGAGGAGAGAGTCTTATCTCGATTCAGTACACCTATCGAGACAGCTTGGGCCAATTGTCATAGGTCAAGTAAATATAGATAAGAATAAGAACGGACCTACGAATCAAGAGAGGGACAAATAGATATAGACAATAATTGAATTTTATAATATTCATTTTAATTTGCAATTCAATTGCCTTTTTTTCTAGCTTTCCCATGTTCGAGCTCTGGCGGCTGGTGGCAACCATATACCCTCCCACGAGAAACTGCCTGACGAAGGCTTCCCTAGGGGTGGTTCGCCACCGACGCCCGCTACGCCGACACCCACCACCGTTCAGCAGCTGCTACGTCGGGCTCAGATACGTCGGAACGAAAGGCGCACCCCCGATCCTCACGATGAGAACATCAAGAGATCCAGGGTGCCGTCGCCGCCGCTCAACAACAACGACGCGACACCCACCGACTTTTCCATGGTGAAGAATAATCATCTATCGGCGAAGGTCGAAGGGAATGGTCTTAACGAAGAGAGCAGTCCTGTGACGGATAATATAAAGTGCGAACCGTTGGAATTGACCGGGGGTAACGGCGGCATTGCCGGGAACAACGAGGATTCCTCGGACTCCGGTGCGGCGGCGTCGGACAGACCGCCGGCGTCCGCGAGTAGCAACGAACACGAACCGGAACCGGAACACCCACCGACGCCCAATTTCCTGCCCGAGAGTAAACTCTTCACCTCGACGCCGGGAAGCTTCAATTTTAGCATGGCTGCACTCACCACAGACCATTCACCCTTGTCAGGTAGAGCGCTTATCACGATTAATGCTCCACGGACCTGTACGCATTATCCTAATCGTTAATCGCGTATACTTAGATAAGGGTGTACGTAGAGAATCGTATGCTTGAATTCTGTTGAAAATTAATTCCGAGGTCAAATCTGATTTAATAGACGTTTTAATGATATCGTTATCTATCAAATCTGTCTCCTATCAAAGTTAACTTTGACGATCAGACGATTATGTTTTGATATTTGTAAATTCAGTAATAACAGAGACGGATCCATAATTTGTTAGCACTTGTCAATGTTCTTTTAATGATGTTCTCGTAACTGTTCAATTGGTCTTTTATTTCTTTTTTTAATAACTGCTGCCTCAAGTATTTGTGCTTTTTCTTCTTATCGCATTTTTCCATTTCTTATTCTTTTTCAATTGCAATTTAGACGTTGCGTACAGGCCTGTTGGCAATTACATCTTCTTTGAGGACTTTCATTGCTACTTCAGTAATTGCAGTGAAATTTCCAGGGCTTGGCCACGGGTTGCAGACGCCGGACCTCGCAGGCACTTCGCAAGGTAAGAGAAAAACTCATTTTTCTCTATTGTCGAAACCGAGCAAATCAAAGAATCCCATGGTTTGATTCTACTTGTGACTAAGACACAAAGCAATTTCAGAGACTGGGTAACAATGAACCGTAGTTTTCCTATAGTTAAAAAGAAACCAAGTAAGCACTACGGCAAATTCTTTGGTTTGATATTCGGAAAAACTTGGCCTACTATCGTTTATTTTTTCACAATGAAAAATTCGTCGCAACGTCACCGCCACAAAGACCCTCGTATCGGTGCAATCTCGTTGCCACGAATTTCTCGTAATCTCCATAGAGAAAGTACCACTTGTGCAGTTATATCAAACTAACAAACAAAAGATAGCAAAAAAAACACAAATTCCAAAAAAAAACTAAACCATAAAATTTAAAAAAAAATGCAAATAGAACATGAATAAATCTCTATTTGGTTGCGGTGCAAGCACTACTGTCTGCTTCGGAAATTGAGTCTCTTCTAATTGGCATGCGGTTTTTTTATACAAATCATTCGCGATCATCATTCTTTACAATATCATTGCGAATCTCGCTTGCATCTATCATTGTCTCATGCGAATAACGTTTACGGAGTGATATCGTGCGCCACAGTCAGGTCCGTATTTCCTCGGTTATAATTGTTCCTAAAATCATGAAGTTAAGAAAAAAAGGTGAAAAATTTAATTATACGATATCACAATCGTCGACAACATATCGATCTTGAAAAAAAAAAATCTCTAAAGTTTGCGGACCTGTCGAGTTGACGTGTTTGCGATAGCATTCTAAAATTGGCGAATTCACCAAATTATTCATGAAAGAAAAAATATGAACAAAAGATAAGACAAAAAATCGTCAGTTTGGCATTACTGTACAATGATTACGAAAATTCAATTGGCACCGCCGTCACCTTTTTCCATACACGAAAGAAGGTGCACGCTAAATGATATCAAAGCGGTGGTAGAGATCGTTAGCTTATACGTATAGTTAACATTAACCTGTAGGTAACTGCCGTTAAAAAAAAAAAAGAAAAACAAAAAAAGTTGGCAAGAATTACACCCAACTTCCATCAGGATCTTTTATGCGTTCATATTTCAACGCGAGAGCCGATAGCGTATTTTATTTCTCTATTGTTAAGTTCTATTTTTTTTTCTTTTGTTTTATTATTATCGTGGCGTGCTCGTACTGTCCAATTTGCTAGTTTTTGGTATTAGTGTTGTCGTCGTCCCGTATGTATGTTGATTTTCACGAACGTACTGTGTACAGTCAATGATACCATCGACGTGATAACAATTTAGATTATCTGTAATGTCGATTGCATCAAGTGGTTAGGAATGGGCTGGGAACCCCCCGTCAAGCTGTATAAACGGTTTGTTCGTTTGTCGTAGCAGAGGATGCGATGGGATGCTGAAATCGATGACATATATCATTCTGAATGATATATATATACTATATACACATATCCATATATGTGTGTGTGTTTGCCGATAGTATAGTTTGAGGACAGGATACCATAAAATGGCATTCACAATAGCGAGCTAATGCGTTTTTTTTTAATACTACCTTGGGACACCACAGCATTGGATTTCTACCCTATCCTAACCTAATGCAATCTTTTCTAAGCCCATCACGATTCCGGATGACTAGCATTAAAATTTTGAAAAAATTTGATGTGACGGCGTTATGGCCGTCAATGTAGCAGTTACGCTGAAAAATCTTTGAAAACAGACCTGAAAATAGCCACAGTGCTCAAAGTAGCCAATACGTAAATTAAATCGTCTCCAAAAATGCCCAACACCAAATTTATACATTTTTATATATTTTTTATGTATTTCTCAAATATTATTATTAGTCATTCTTACGTATTTGTTCATTCTTGCCCCACTAAATACATCCCTCCCTCCCACTCCCTCTCTCTCTCTCTCTCTCTCTCTCTCTCTCTCTCTCTCTCTCTCTCTCTCTCTCTCTCTCTCTGACGCAACACACACACACACACACACACGCGCGCGAGCGCGCGCGCGCGGTCATTGCGAATATTTTCATTTGTCCCTTTTTCCTCTTCTCTCCATTTGACCATGAGACGCGTAACGTGTGCCTCCTCACCAATGAGAACTCATCCTGGTAACCATCGCTGAATCCCTGTGGCCAATCGCGCCGCTTTCGTGCATCTTTTTATATAACGCAACCTACGTAGCCGCGACTATGTATATCCTTTGAGCTGTTTGCGAAATTGTTTGTAAACGCGACGATTGTCCCTGTCTAGTCTTGGACTTATCAAACGCAGGCTCGATTCCCAAGTGGAAAAGTATCACGCGACGAGAATGATCATAGCCGCTTCTGGGCGATCTTATTCTCTTCGAAAGTCAATGTATATGTAATATATATATGTATATATATATATTTAATAATAATTTCGCGAATCTTCCGTGATATTTATTATGAGATACGTAATTATAGAATAATAATTATATCTGTAATAAAAATTTAGTATGGAAACACCTTTGCTGCTATAGTGCCAATTTTTACGATAGAAAAATATTGCGCGTCGATAGTGTATGGAAATACAAAAAATAAATAAAAATGTCACAGAAAAACACGGTAAAAAAAAATATGCATGCTGTCGCAAAATCTTGAGCGTTTAATAAATGATTAAAAATCCACAAATAAACGATCGCCAATATCCGTAGACTGAAGAAATTCAGGTGTCTGGCGACGTGTCGCTTAATATTTGAACGACTGGTTTATGCTAGGTTAGTACTGAAAAAGTTATCAGTGGCCCCGGCGATAAGGCCGCAGATGTTATCCGCGAAATTCAAGGTCCCTCTATCTCTGTAGCCAACCAAACATTGGCTAACTAAAAATACCACGACCTTGGCTCGCCACTCGCGTTATTGCATCGCTAGGAATTGTTAGATATTGAATCGTCTCATCGTACAATGAATGTCTAACGTCCTTTTTCAACTATCTGGAATCTGACGCTCAGGTATAGCCATTACTCTTTTGGGACGAAGACTAGGAAAATGAGTGTAACGATGATGATAATGATGATGATGATGATTATGATATAACACAGGCGCCCTCTGATCCTGGTACCGGATTCTTGTTCGCGGCTGTTGTAACACCCTATGTGTAAAATCACAAGCATATGTGACCTTTATTGTCAGAATGTCGCTTGCTTTATTCTGAAAACGTTTTTTATCGCGTTGCGTACGTATTCCCCTCGTGTGACTCCATTCCAATATGGCCAGCACGCTTCTGTGCTAAGGGTGTCGAACTTTTCGCATACACGTTTCCGGGTAATGGATATGCGCCTTTTTTTGTAACAATAATTTATCAGCTGGAGAGAACTTTTTATACATCATATACAATTGTCGAGTATTCACGATCCCGAGGAGACTCCGTGGACTCGAGGCGATACACTTTCGCCCGTTATCATTCGACGCAAATAAATGGCCGATCTTCGAGCACTCTTTTCGTTTCATTGAAACTGTTATTTTCACATGCCGCGCTCGTTTTTATCGCCCTTAATGCGTAATGCCGTTATGCAAAAAACAATAATACGTTGATACGGAGCTCGTTATGTTACTTCTTTGTCTGTGGGGGTGTGGTGACTATCGTGATTGCAAATGAGAATTTTTTTTTATTTCTTGAGCATTTCACTGTTTTTCCATCTCTATTTATTGCTCTTCTCGTTTACGGAGGGGAAGTATCACATGAAATTTTCATTAGTCCCATCTGTACTTTGCTACGTGTATAATTTACTTCGATTTGGGTCTAACTACTTTCAACCCTCGCGAAGAAAGTCTTTCACGGCTATTTTTACATTGTTTTTCCGGACGATCGTATTTTTGAAAGTCGAAACGGGTGCTCGGTCATACTTATCCTTCTCTTTCTCTCACAGACACACACACACACACATATTCTCTCTTTCTCTGTCTACATCGCTGTTACTCAGTTTTTACACTTATTTTTTTTGTTTTCGGCCTGCGCACTCTTTGCCTGCGAAACGGCACGCTAACCTGCTGGTAATGCGAAATCGTGTAAAAATAGCTGGGACTCGGACTACTTTCTGTATCCGCGAACCCAGCCTGCTGCAACGTCCTCTCAAATATTTGTTCTCGTCGCGTCACGCTGCTCTGTTTTCGCCAAATTCTTCTTTTCCGGACTTCTGTCACTAATCTATTGATTTCTTCTTAGAACAGGTGCTCTTGGGATAATTTTGTATACTGTGAAAGATCTTGTAAGATTGAATAAATCAAGGATTTGTCCATGCATTTCATAAGGCTTTTGAGATGCGCATACTATCCTGTCGCCATCTGTTGCACAAACGTCGAGACACAACACTTTGCCCCGTCGGAGACGCGTTTCTCTTTCGCTTTCGTTGCTACCGATTTCCTTGATATAAATACGTTTGGACTCGAGAATACCCATAACCCAATAACTATTTAATACTCGTCTTTAAATTTTGTTAATTTTCCAAAATCCCCTATTTCTTATACCCCCCTCCTTAGTTGATGTCTATTGGGATGTGAACAATCTTCTGAATTCTTTTATTACATCCTCAATCGCGTGAAGAAAATTCACGCAATTTCTCGCGTGACGGGCTTTTCGTGCGTCTTCAACGTCGCGACGAATACCAGTAATTTAGTAATTCCGTGGCAGTGGACTTCTTTATCTGTAGAACGTACTTATCGGCGGGTCTAGCTGCTTGTTTTTGTCTGCTATTATCGATAATGAACTTGAGGTGACCTCGAAAACTGCGCAATAGCCAGAGGTGTGTGCACTCTCATATGTCGCTATCTCGATGCACCGCATGTTCGCGACCTGTAAAAAATGAATGTAAACGTGAAAGGAGAGTAGTGGTGGTTACGGAGACGGCGGCGCTGTGGTTGTGTGGGTGGCGGGAAGAGGGCGGATAGGAGTGACGCACAAGAATAGGAGAGAGTGAAAATAAACACAGCTATTGATTTACCAGCAATGTTTGACTTTCTTAAACAATTTGACGATACTCCTTTGCGTATCAATACCTCAACGCGAACTTAAATGAGGCTCGATTAGATTCGATTAAAATTTTTGCACCGCATTCCCAACAGCACGCATTGATTTATCAGCCATCAAAAATTTATTTCCCAACAGTCACACAAGTAACTCGTTTAAGCTTATTCGGTAATCAAATTGTTCGCTTATTTGATACACTGAAGTAATTTATTTACGTTAAGTAAAAAATTCTGTAATTGTTGGATATCATGCATTCTAGGAGTATGAATAAAAACAAGAGTACCGCCTTGGATTCTATATTCGAATTCACGCGGCACACTCTCTCCTACACGTGGGCATCGTAGGGTGGGACCAAGTTAGGGTAGTAAACATGTGCGGTCAGAACCTTCCCCACTACGTAATCTATTGAGTATTCGATCTTTTACTCTTTCTAAATTATCATACTTTTTTACATTCTTTGAATATTATTATTTCGCAATCGTATGTCACGCGATAACGTGATATGATGCTTTTCGTATCCCAATTTTGTATTAACATACGTTCGCGATACATACTTTTCTGCAAAGCCGTACGATTTTCTATATCTCGATCCCGTATATTCATCCGATATTAAACAGAAGAAATTTTCGATTGCAGACCGTATGTAACCCCCCGACCTCTCCCGTCCCATGAAACAAAAAAGGAATAAGAGGGCAGATCTGGGGTACGAGTTATCTCCCAACATCGATCGGAATTTTCGTCTACATTGGCAGCCAATTTCCACGGCTGTAAAACTGAATACGCGCAGGGTCTAATCTCAGCCGTAAAGCCGGAACTTTATTAACGCGCAGTCGTTCTTCTCGAGGACTTTAAGGTTCGCGTAACCAATCCGGAAGCCAGCGGCATTTTTCCCTCAGCAGTTGGCCTATTGATCGTGCGGGGTCCTCCAGCGCTTAGAGTCAACATCAGTCATAATACGGGGCTATGGTGGGGTTATTAAGAATAATACGCATCCTAGGTATCCCCAGTCCTCTTCCCTAACCCTCCTCTCATCGCGGGAGGCTGGAGGGTTTTAGCGAGGTGCGTTGCCTAGGTAACCGGCCGGGTAAAATCCGCAAAGAACCGGGACTCGTTGCTGTATTGACATCCCATCTGCACGGGCAGTACAACCTTTTATGAGTGTGGGTGGTCCCTGTCATCGTTCTGACCCCTGCCCTACCCACGATCTTGCTTAGCCCCCTCTATCGTCTTGAGCCTACGGTGAAAATAAAAAAAAAGGAAACTAGAGATACAGAGTGTAGTAGTGGCTACGAATCGCGTAAGATGAATGCGATCCCGTCTTCCTTCTACTCTTCTTCTTTTTCTTCTTCTTGTTCGTCCTCTTCTTTGTAATCGTCATCTCGTCCCTTTCTTGTCTTTTTTGTACTCGTCGCAGGATCACCTCCGCTAGGGAGAATATATCGTACTTATAGGAAATGAGTACCTCGGCATCCTCTACAGGAACTCCCCTTATTTGACACGTTGCCAACGATTGGACTCAGCCCCCTCCTCTTTGGTTGCAGACCGGGAGGTCGCCGAGGAGGATGGGGCTTGGAAGTCCAGAAGTCGTCATCAGACCTCGTACTCATACCAAAGCACGACCTCTAGTCAGAACCAGGAGTTGCCAATAATCGATTTGCTTGAGGACTTTGGCGATCAGATCATATTCAAGTCTGAACCGGTTTCACCTTCTAAGATGGATCCGGTCGTTGATGAACCCGTCCAGGTTGTATCAGGCGCGCCAAAGAATAGTTACGACGGCGACACGTCACGTGGCGCCGCGTACTGTGGCTACTGTCAAAAGACCTTCTCCAGAGCTTGGTCCCTTCAACGTCATCTGGCGGACACGCACTTCTACGTGCCGCAATCGTTGGCCTGCGATCAGTGTGGACGCAGCTACAAGTCCAGGAACAGTCTTGTCAGTCACAAAAGTCAATATCACGCGAAGAAGGATCATCGCAAGGATATCGTGAATGCTCAATGCGAGATCAATTATTGATCTACTCTTCGAACCGATGTTACTTTACCTAGTGCAACCGAAACGGTTAATATGACGTCTTCCTGATGTGTTGCGGATGAATGATCTTGTACCTTGGAACGATGATTGCAATGATTCCTATGAGAATTATATTCTCACACGAGTCAGACTATATGTAGTTACGATCGTCATGATCTTCGTCGATTTTCGAAAAGCCAAGAGATGCACATGGGACATCATCCCGCTCACAACTGCCGACGATCAAGATCATCGATCAAGATCAAGAAAATCCTCGGACGTCACTCACACAGGCAGAAACTCGTCATACGATGAATTGTCCTCTATCGCGATATGTTTGGAAACCGCAGAGTATCAAGAATCGACTGACATGATAACGATCAGGCATCATGAAGAAGGATGCACGAACTCATCCATTACTAACAGTATAGATCCTCAGCTCGTGATGGTGATCGAGGCGACTAGACTAAATTTATTTGAGCATCGCGAGCTCCTTGTGACTTCGAGAGACACAAAGTGAGATTACACAAATGTATAGCCGCTTAATCGTATAATGGGCCGTATAGTAAAAAGTAACGTACACCTTCATATATACATATATTATATTGTATTTACGTAATAAAAAAATGCGCCAGTATGTGTGAACTGTATCGTGATAAGCGTGATAGAGAATGAGAAAAAGAAGGAAAGTAAAGTAAATCGAGATAAAACGAAGCTCTGGAAAAATAAAATATTACATGAAAAATAAAAATGAAAACTTTTCGATCGATATACACGTATGAATTCGCAATTATGGTAAATCTGTGAATTTATCTAGTGGTCGATTCACGTTCCAATGCTACCACTCACTAGCTCCGCCACTGCACGTTCATGCCCCGAGCCTTCTATGTATTATGAAAAAGAAAGTGTACAGAATTATCTACCGTCTAAGGATGCCATTTTATAGGCGACGCACATTCATTAAGCGCAGACGCCTTAATCTCTGCTTCATCGTCATCAGACCATTAAAACGAATATCACACCTGTATGTATATAAGACCGCTCTCTGGCACCTACGCTGTAAATAATATGCATCGACACATGGACTACTCATCTCCTTGGTGCTCGGCAATACACTAACGTCATCGCTCTCAATGGGTCTGGATTATCGGATTGCTTGCACTACTTCTACTACTTCCACTAGGCCGGCATGGGTGGGTGGCGTTTCTCAAGAGAGAGAACTACGCTTCGGTGAACCGATATGCACACGCACTCTTGGAAACGCTCCTCCTATATCCTCCAAATGCTCTAATAGGCTCATGTCTCTCTTACCGCCAGAAAATAAGAAAATGGAAACTATGAAAAAAAATAGATCAGAAGCAAAACGAATCATGTTCTCTCGCGAATCTTGAGCACGGTACGATCTTATATTTTGTACAAAAGGAAAAAAATGCAAGATCATTCTGGAACAAAAAATCGATAATTGACAAAAAGACAAGCAGAGCCAGACACTGCTGAGCTCTAACGGACGGGACGCGCGACTGAAAAACGTTAGCACGTAGAAGCAACAATGTTGTTCGTGGTACCGAGGGTAATGAGGGGCGGGGGGTCGTGATCTAACGTTAAATAATGTTGTTTTAAAGTGGGTGGGTGGGGGAGTGTGTGAGAAATTTGAACGAGAGGTTGAAAGATTGGGAGAGAGCGTTTGAGGGAGGAATTGAGAATAATAAATGAGAACTGATTCGTTGCTGCACTTGCGATAGTAACCCTGTGTCTGGTTCTGCCGCCAGGTCTGTTGGCCGGCAGCGGCTCGACCGATGAGTTTCGATGCGAGCCTTGCAACAAAAACCTGACCTCCCTAACTCGGTTGAAGCGACACATACAGAACGTGCACACCAGGCCGAGCAAGGAACCGATCTGTAACATCTGCAAGCGGGTTTACTCCAGTCTGAACAGCCTGCGCAACCACAAGAGTATCTACCATCGGCAGCACTCGAAAAACGAACAGCAGAGGAAGGAGGAGGAGCAACAACAGCAACAGCAGCAACATCTACAGCAACGTCAGCAACAACAACAATCGCACATGGGATGAGATGAAACGCTGAAGCTGAACGCTCATTGGATCGGTTCCTTGAATCGTGAGACCGTTCGTCCGACTAGGGTTGGCTCGTTCCGTCATCGTCTAGGATCCGAGAGATAGACATGACATATGACACGGCGTTTTATTCAGCGAGAGGACTAGAGCCTCCTGATCGTGAAAAAAGTTCAACTAGTTAAGTTATCTAAGGCTTTGTATATATTTGATGCGAGTATGACGGATTCTTTCTTGTTGTCGGTTTCATTTTTTTTTAATGTTGTCCTCCTCTTTGGACTTTTTTCTCTCCTTGTAACTTGCGAACTCTCGTGAAATTTATTTGTTTCTATCCGCGTCTTGTATATATGCCCTTATTAATTCACGTTGCTGATCGCGTTTAATGTGGAGATTGTCTACTGTTTCCCTTTTTTTTGCGTTCTTTCCTTCGTTAAGAGAAAATGGGGTGGGTGAAGATAGTCCACAGCTGCAGTACAAACGAATGAAGCGAATTAAACAAGCCTATGCATACTACTTTATTACTAGGGTAATTTTTTATGTCTTGTTCAATATATTACTCTTTTAATTTTTCGAAAACTTTATGCGTCACTTTAGTTATTGAAGTTTATTATTTTTTCTCGAAACTTTGTCACTACTTCGACTTGGCCAAAATCGTAAGACTGTTGAAAAAATTAGGGGCTGTTTGATCGCTTACGACAATTTCTAATTTGATTTTATTAATCGAAAACGATTAATTGCGAATATATCTTGAGCCTCAGGTAATTGTTGTTATTATATATTCCGAGTATTCTGTAATTATCATGGCTAAATGGATCTATCTCTCGCAACACTCGAATTTGCGTTTCGATTTCAAATTCCTTGTTAAAATTTTTTTATTTTCTCATAACCGGTTTCTTAGCTCGTCGACATCAAACAATTTTCATTCCGCTTTTATATATTCACGTGTAACGCGTCTTCGCGCGTGGAAATCGACATTAAGCACAATCTACACGTCAAGCTTTATCGAAAGTTGTGACATTGGCAAGACAACTTTTAATAGCAGAGGAGCATTAGTATGGCAGGTCTATAACTGTAAATAGGTTCGCAAGATTTTTGGCGAATATTGTAAATAGAACTTTTTATACCTGAGTTACGATATAATATATTTTTATTACTAATCTTCGTTTTTTGGGGGCCAGGGTAAAAAAACACGTTTCCATTGTACTCACGCACGTTGTTTCTCATTATTTATGAATAAACATTTTTTTTATACGGAAAAACAAACAAGACTTACAGATTTTACTTAAGCATTGATCCCGTCTACTCTATTTCTTTCTTCACCCCATATACTCTACTGTTATTTACACTTTTCTTTTTGAAAAAATTAATGCCAAGCGTCATTCAATACAGTGTGTAAAATAGTATTAGTCCCATTTAAAGTTTAGGACAAGTTCTCTCGACTTGGCATTGAATGGCACGTTGACAAGGTTGATATTCTTCGAAACGCGTTATGCCATCCATTGTTACGAACTTGGTTTAGCCCCTTTCTATTATCAAGTCAGCCCGATATCTGGTGTATTCTGAAGAGGCAGCGCAATGGCGACGAACTGCGGACGAAAAAGTAAGTTCAGCTCACATAACCGGTGCAGCCGGCGCAGCTAGTGCAACGAGCACAGTTAACTGTAACGTAAGCTTAAAAATCTCAGAATACATCGGAATCAGGTGCTTTCGTGAGAGACTATTGACAATGATCCCTTATTATCATAGACACTATTCATATCATAGGATCTAGCTTATTCGACTATATAAGAACTTAAAATAGGGTTACCAATCGTGAAGCACTGACTTGACTTAACAATTAGCTGGCAATTTTTAGATATTATATACGACAAATGGCTCAATATAATAACACTGAAGAATATCTAATACTATAGACCTCCTATAAATATACGTATAGTATATACTATACACTATACATATACTGTACAAGGTTATTCACGGAAAACGCACCAGCTGAAATTGGCCGTGAATGAATGATTTTATGAATCAAAGCAGAGTGGCATTATTAAAGAAATGGAAGTTGACGTCATAACATTGCTAAGATCATGAATTTCACATTCTTTTATTTGTATAACAAGACCACACTGCCTGAATAAAAAAAATTGTTCAATGACGTCCAACTTCAGCTGGTGCATTTCCCGTGAATAACCCTATATACGCACACTAGTATACATATTTGAAACTGAAAAAGTATCATTTGGTAAGGACTGGTTCCATGTTTTTAAGGCTGACCCCCCCCGCCCCCTTCAAACCCCTGTGAATACCACCGCCCTCTCTGCCCCTTATAGCGACCCCCTACTTCCCAAGAGGAGCCCCGGTCAGGATCTCGCGTAAGCAGGATCTCTATATAGGAAACGGCTTACATATGATCAATGACAAACCAGAGCCCCACGATCAATGACAAAAGAGACGAGTACCCGTGACGCAAGCGAGCGTCAGCCAATCCGGGGTTTCAGCCCTATATAGAATACTAGAACCGTAACTAATGTGTCCACGATATTAATGGCAGCCGTATCTTTGTTCTTGTTTGTTCCCGGTCCCGCTCGCTCGGCTATACGTGCTCTGGTTCGTCATTGTTCTGTGTGTACCTACTACTTCGCTACCTTCACGAACGGATTCGCGCCTTGGGTCCCCATCGCACGCACGCACGCGTGGCTCTCACTGGTGCGACACAACTTCGGCCCGATTGGTTCGTAAACTCGCATAAAACCTCGATCATGGTAATCACACATCATACGCACATGCACTCTTACCCCACCCGTATGAACGTTATGCTACTGCTTTCCTGGTTCCATTTGACCTTACTCCTGATTCCGATACCCACGTCGTCGGTTGGACTCGTCGATGTCTTAAGGTCCGCCCTCGGCCATCCTAGCCATGAGACTCTCACATCCGCTTCACGGTAGCTTGCTGCCACCTGGTGTGTGCTACACGTGCGACGTCTGCGGCAAGACTCTGTCGACGAAGCTGACGCTGAAACGTCACAAAGAGCAGCAACATTTTCAGCCTTTGAACAGCGCGGTCTGCGCCCTCTGTCACAAGGTCTTCAGGACCCTCAACAGCCTGAACAACCACAAGAGCATCTATCATCGTAGGCAGAAATAGGGAGAGAACGACGACGTCACTCGTCGCAACGTACGACGCCGTCGCGGTGCCTACTGCATACTCCACGATAGAGACCCTTACGTTTAACCGAGCTAGG